AATCGATTATTGGTCCTCTCAGAAGATTCTGGGTTTTGGCTGCAAAGACTGATAATCGATTATCGCAAAGCTGATAATCGATTATTGCGTGCTTAAGAACTTTGGAAGTTCAAAGCTGCAGGGGCTGATAGTCGATTGTCACTAAGGTGATAATCGATTATCACCCAGCTAAAGTCTAGCCAGCAGAAACCCGTTTTGAAAAACCGAGGTCCAAAAACGAAGTGTTCCCAAAAGTAAAAACCAGGTTTGAAAAATATTGTATATGGTATAAAATAGTGAAAACAAGACTTGTTTGGTAAAAACCAAGTCTCCTAGGTCGTATAAAACGTGCTTACGGTTTAGACCGTTTTTCACGTGTTAGACCAATTGACCAAGATAGAAAAGTGGTTTTTATAAAATAATTATTTGGGAACATTTTAAAAATGCTCAGAGGTAAAAACAGGGTTTAAAATATTGAAAACCATGGAGTTGGTTCGGGCGCCAAAAACCGAACGCCGAAAGCCGAACGTCGAAAGCCGAACGCCGACTTAGGTGGTTTCGGTTCTGAGCAAGGACCAGGGATTTTAAAAATAAAAGAAATCATCAAAAATGTTTGTTTTGATGCACAAAAAATATTTTATGATTTGTAAAAATTGTTTTGACTTTTTGAGAACCGAGACTTGAATTTATTGTCGGTTTTGATCACAAAAGATCGACTCGACTAAGTCTTTAATTCTTGATCTTGTCCTTGAGTCTTTTAGGTCTTGTTCCAAGCCATTCTTCACGCTTTGAGTTATTTAACGAAACTCTTTATATCCACGGCGGTTTGGCAATTATCAAAACCTGTCAGAAATGAACACGACTTTAGTTTATCGTACAAAGTGTGTTCCACAAATTTCCCCCTTTTTGATAATGGCAAACAAGACGGGGATATGCATAGGGTTTTGATCTTTTTGAAAAAAATCCCCCTTAAAAAAAATTCCCCCTTAAAATATGCATAGCCCTTATCTTCCCCCTTTTGACATTAACAAAAAGATTGTTAACAACAAAAATCATAAAAATTTTTATTAATTAATTAAGGGAAATAGCGGAGTACATAACGAAAGCATATTAAAAGATGATAAAATAAGGAAGAGAAGAAAGTAGAGCTAGAGCTCTAGAAATCCGGGGAAAGATCATTGAGAAGTTGTTCTTCGCCAATGTCTTCTTCTTCTTCTTCATCTTCGTCACCGTCGCCATCATCATCATCATCGGCTTCTTCTTCCTCTTCTTCTTCCTCTTCCTCATCGTCCACCTCATCATCTCTACCAACGTTTTGAGTCCCACTTTGTTCACCTCCGAAATTCGGTGGAGGAACGTAAGGGACCATTTGAGCGTACGGGTAATTGACAAAGTCAAAATACCCGTGAAGTTCACGGCTCAAGGTATTGACGTTGTGTGCCGTTTTGGAGATGTTGGTGTCAATCCGAGAGAGAGTGGCGGTTAAGGCTGCCATTTGCTCGGCGAGAGAAGGATTGGTCGAAGTGGTGGCGGTTGAGGCAGTGGCTCTCGGTTGGCGACGTGGAAAAGGCTGTCGAAACGGAGTCTCGTCGGTTCCCGAGTGGAATGAGGATTCATTAATCTCCCAATGCTTTGTCCCCTTTATCTTTGGCCCAACATCGGTTTTGATGTTATATTCTTCAAGAATCGCCATGACAAGGAGGGCGTAAGGGAGCGGCCGATTGTCGGAGGTGGTCGTGAACATGTGAGTCATCACAAATTTACACCAATTGAGATTGGCGTTGTGAATCATCGCATGAATTGTCTTCGTGTCCTCCTGGGAGAGAGTGGTGTGATTGAACTTCCTGGGCTTGAGAATCCGTGTCAAAACATAAAAAATGAATCGAAACACGGGACTCATGGAAGCAATCGTAGGGCGCCGCTGTTGGGGAGTGGGTACGAAGTGTCGGATGCCCACTTCCTCCAAGAGAGCGGTCTCGTTGAACCGTGCTCCTTCTTCTCCAACGTAGAGCCCGAGATCCTGTCCATCCCGA